GACGACGGACGACGGACGACGACGGACGAAAACGGATAGCAATAGGTCACTTGAGCTAAAGCTCAGGTGACCTAAAAATAGGTTCAAGGTCTGAAGAAGGGATGGGATATGTACCTTAGAGTTAGGAAATTATCTCCCACAACTTGTTAAGATTGAAATACAATTTTTCTGTTCTTGACAAATGAACTTTATATAAAGCACATAGTTCCCTTTGTGTATACATATATATATATATGTATGTATTGACATTGACATTTACACAAGGTTAGAAATAGACTGATCACAAGATGCTGACACACCACAATGTAACAACCTACTTCCATCCGCCCACTCATCCCCGATTAGCTGACCTTTGACATGGAGCCTTGCATCTCTGATCAGTGATTGTTGAAAAAACACTACACTACCAGAAAACAAACAAGTCTCCATCATTGTCAATGGCGAAAAAAGTTTGAAAGTAAATCGGAGGCAAACAACATCTCCTAATCCATTTACTGGTATTGAGGACAGACTTGATTGGCTTGGAGAAATTGTCAGTTCCTAATCTACGATCTTTGTGTTCCTAATCAACAATCTTTGTGTATTTCCTAATTGACTAGCAACTTAAGGTTGGGAGAACTGTCAAACATCTTTCATTCCAACTGAGAAACTCAATCACAAAGCTAAAGGTTTTATATTGTATAGCCCAAAATACATTCCTCCATAGAAGTTTCACCTAGTTGTGTAATGCAGACTCATGTTCATACCAAAGCCACTAGTTACAGTTGTATTGTAGACTCTAACCTGACTTGTGATACCAAAGCCACTAGTTATAGGTTTATTGTAGACTTAAACCTGACTTATGATACCAAAGCCACTAGTTAGTTGTATTGTAGCCTTTAACCTGACTTGTGATACCAAAGCCACTAGTTACAGTTGTTTTGTAGACTTTAACCTGACTTGTGATACCAAAGTCACTAGTTATAGGTTTATTGTAGACTTTAACCTGACTTATGATACCAAAGCCACTAGTTAGTTGTATCGTAGACTTTAACCTGACTTGTGATACCAAAGCCACTAGTTATAGGTTTATTGTAGACTTAAACCTGACTTATGATACCAAAGCCACTAGTTAGTTGTATTGTAGCCTTTAACCTGACTTGTGATACCAAAGCCACTAGTTACAGCTGTATTGTAGACTCTAACCTGACTTGTGATACCAAAGCCACTAGTTACAGTTGTATTGTAGACTTTAACCTGACTTGTGCTACCAAATTACTCTTTGAATACCTTTTTATAGCAAAAGGAAAGTTTAACCAAGTAAAACACCTGAGCAACATAATTGACAAACTTAAATTTCAAGATCAGGTTAACTAGCTTCAAAACCATTGCCCTGACATATTGCAGTTGTAAATTTTCCGACCATCTATTACAATGGACATATACATGTATCTGTCTGATTTTAAGTTTTCAATATCTGATATACACAGCTTGAAATTCTTGATACAAGAACCTGTGGTTTCTCTGTGATTCTTTCCAGTCACAACAATGGACAAGTTTAGTATTTTAGGAAACGAAAGGTCAGAATGTTATGAAAAGAATGAATGTGTTTTTATCACAAGGCAACATTTGATTTGATGCCATAATGACTTCAAGAAGCAAACTCTTCAGAAACCCTAATCTTTTCCCCCATTAAATGCTTCACCCTTTGATGAGTTTGCCATTCCATATTGAAAGTTCACAGTAATTCATACAAATATCCAACAAATTTCAAACTTTCCAATGTCAAGTTTAAACTGGTTTCTTGTTGGACAATTCCAGACATTGACCGGTGTATGATGTGGGGGTTTCTTGCTGTAAAACCCTGTTTGGTGTGTGTGATAGGGGAGATAGGGGAGATACATAATTATAGTAGCTTGTCACATCATATTTTTCATGTTTTTTCCCTTGAACAGTTCAAAGGGAAAAACATAAAAAATATGATGCAAGAAGTTACAGTAAGTATATCCCTATCACACAACAAAAAGGGTTTTACAGTATTCCCCACATCATATACCAGTTAATGTCTTCTGATTGTTATTATGATATCAGACTCATGTTTACATTTTAAATTCATTAAATTTCTCAAAAAATGTTTGATTGCATTGATGTTTTAATGATTTCATTTTAGTCCAACTGATTTCAGTTCTCATATGCTTGTACAAAAAATACCACCACACAAACAGCTGCCAACAAACTGATGTCATCGTGTGGAAAACAACTTCAAAGAGATGCTATAGCTAACATGAACCATTTTGTTCCGATACGTCTGGTGAAAATATTGTACATCCATAACTGGAAGATAATGGTTGGTTCTGATCCATAATATATTACCCTATCACAAATGCCAATCTCTGTATGTAAATATCACTTATCTGTTCTATCATGTGTGAAAATGTAAACGGTTTCTGTACAACCAACGACTCTCATCAAAAATTAGGACTAGCAAGCTTAACATAAAACAATAATAACTTTGTTACATTGAATACTTCCCCGGTAATCAAAATATTTACCTTTTAATCAATTTGAAATTAGCATTTAAAAGAAAAGCTTTCATTAAATCTCACCTCAAAATTAAACATAAGGTTTACTTTAACTTTGTTTCTATTTTTTTATTTAGACAGCTGACAAAGCTTTTTGAGGACTAAATGGTTAATATCTGAGCAGTAAAGTGAGACTGGAGGTCAATAAAACACCTGTATTTGAGCATTATCAGCAAACTAGGGACATGAAAGGGCACCTGCAGCAGCAGCAGCAGCACATCAATAAGTGTGCTAGTAAACTGTCTTCTTATCAACATAGCAGACAGCCAACCCACATGCAGTCTAGGCATTTTTACTTTATTGAAATATGAATATTGTATGAAACTCCAATGTGCTTGACAGTGTAATGGATCAACTTTTAGTTCAGGTTTGTGTTTATGGTGACAGGCATATACAGACCACTTCATTAACATTCTTACTACCGTATACACAGCAACAACGCAACACATTGGTCTACAGCTACAACACATAATATATCTGTCTGTGAACTGTTAAGGAATTGCAGTGAATTGCGCATACTTTAGTGACAAGTTACAGTAATTATAAATTTCTTTTGCTGACAAGAATGTGTGATATATCGGATAATTTTTAATTTTCAGGTCTCAATGTAAGCTTATTTGCATTGTAAAGAGCAAACTAATTTATATTGTTATCTGTTTTTTAACAGTTTTCCTTTGTATGTTTTGCCATCTTTTGGAAAGTATTGTTTCTAATATGCTTACTTCAGAGATCCAGTTTGCTGATGATTGTAGTTTGTCTAGTGAAGCTTTCTTGGAATGACTTTTCATGAATTAGAACAGGTTTTCTGAGTTTAGCATTCTATTAACAGTTAGAACAGGTTTTCTGAGTTTAGCATTAGAGGCGTCACGATTCACCTCACTGAAATACCATCATGAAGATATCCATCACAGTTTTCCACCCAGTCACATTATAGAGTGCTACCTCACTTAAATACCATCCTGAAGACATCCATCACAGTATTCCACCCAGTCATATTATAGAGTGCTACCTCACTTAAATATCATCCTGAAGACATCCATCACAGTATTCCATCCAGTCACATTATAGAGTGCTACCTCACTTAGATACCATCCTGAAGACATCCACCACAGTATTCCACCCAGTCACATTATAGAGTGCTACCTCACTGAAATACCATCCTGAAGACATCCATCACAGTATTCCATTCAGTCACATTATAGAGTGCTATCTTACTTAAATACCATCCCGAAGACATCCATCACAGTATTCCACCCAGTCACATTATAGAGTGCTACCTCACTGAAATACCATCTTGAAGACATCCACCACAGTATTCCACCCAGACACATTATAGAGTGCTACCTCACTGAAATACCATCCTGAAGACATCCACCACAGTATTCCAGCCAGTCATATTATAGAGTGCTTCCTCATTTAATACCATCCTGAAGACATCCACCACAGTATTCCACCCAGTCACATTATAGAGTGCTACCTCACTTAAACACCATCCTGAAGATATCCATCACAGTATTCTACCCAGTTACATTATAGAGTGCTACCTCTCTTAAATACCATCCTGAAGACATCCATCACAGGATTCCACCCAGTCACATTATACTGACAACTGGTAAACCAATTACTGCACTTACCCTAAATGTTGAACATTGGGCAGGTAATAACAAGTACCAATTTTAAGGACTTTGGTATGTCCAAGGCTAGGACAGAACCATTTGTCTTTCATACAAGGTTAACATACTGCAATACAGCCAAAGTTTGGTGTTTCAGAGAAATACAAGAAAAGGTAGGAGAGGACAAGGTAAACCAAACTGTCCCAATAAGGTGTGATAAATACACATGCCACCAATATGCCATCATATACACATAGAAACATTCCCAGTAAAAATTGAAAAGATGGATTGCTCTTTTGTCTGGCACCTAGACTCGACCAATCTGAAATACCTATCCAGCATAGCTCTTAGATTCATTAGAACATGCCCCCTTGGCCATGTGGTTAACCTATAAACAGCAAGTGACCTAGACTTGGGACCCTGAATTACAAAATCATCTAGGGTATTCTCATACTTCCCTCTGTATGTGAATTAAAAATTTGTTAAGAAATGAAAACAATGAATAACAATGGGGTGGGACAAGAGAGACATGGGTGACACTATATCCCCCTCCCCAAATCATAAAACGATGTGGAGCTTATATAGTGTAAGTTGTACTGCAAGAGTTGAGATGACTTGAATGTTAGCCATGCACACAACAAACACTACCATTTGCGACAAGACTTACCCCCTTTGACTTCGCCATTGGTACATATGGCAGACATGGAGAGTGATGTGAGTGTGGTGACCACAGCAGACAAGAGTATGATGAGGGTGGCGAACCCCACCCCGGACTGTCCCACCACCCAGGACAGCCGCATAAACAGCATCACTCCCCAGATGTTCAGCAGACATCGTATCTGTAATAAACAGCACACATTTTATATAGCTTCTCATTTTTGGTACTTTATTTTGTACAAATAATAAACAATGGTTACTTATAGTAGGTATTCTTTACATATATCCGAATACATGATCAGTGAACAGGGTGAAGACCTTTGACGCTTGAAGTGCAAAAATGTATATCAGTAAGAGGGCTCAACCCTAGAGCTATGACGCCCGAATTCAAACCCACATCTAAATATCAGTGTTCAGGTTCTAGAACTGAAAAATGTTTCTGTCCCTCACTTTACTTTTTGCTGTATGTAAAGGTTATATTTCAACATCTATGCATGCTGATTCTGTTTTTATTATATGTACTCTGGTCCGGGTCCCATTTTGTTACTTGTCATGACCGGATCTGAAGCTACAATGCAGGTGTACTTGTTTTTAACTTAACAAGACTGTCCCACAAACAAATTGAAAACTTTCTACATGTGTCAAGAGAAAACCTGTTAAAAATTGATTGATGTTTTGAATCATGTGTGACTTGGTCAGTTGTCATGACAAGATCTATCCTACAATGCAGGTGTACTTGTTTTTAACTTAACTATAGACAGTCCTACAAACAAATTGAAATATTTCTGCATGTGCCGTGAGAAAACCTGTGGAAAATAGGTTGCTGATAGTTGCTGGCTATGTAAATACCTAACCTGCATTGTAACAACTGAAGCCTTTTTGGTTGAAAATCAACTTTTGTACCTGGCTATGTAATTAGGATTGAAACTCGCAGATTACATTTTTACTAGCTATAGGCTATCCTTTGCTCTACAAAGCAGGACAAAACTAGATTTTTAATTACTGCTGTATTTGAAGATATTTTCATATTCTTTAAATGTAGTGAGAGCAACATTCCTAAAGGTAGCAGAAATATAGCTTGAATATTTAACTAAACTGTGTAAGTTAATTTTGGTGATAATGCTGTTCTAAATGTCACCAAGGACTGTTTATATACTTCAATCAATCATGCATTCATATAGCACCAATACTGTCAAATAGTCAAGGCTCAACCTTGGTAGAAAGCTGTTCTATTTTTCTTCCCTCATGATGCAAGTGATGGGGACAGATTGTAGATAGAAGCTAATATTGGTCATGAATATTTCAAAGGCCAGATGATAGGTAATACTTGGATGGCTGAGCTCACACAAAAGGTTCTATTGTAAATCATCAGATATCTCTACACTCCAGATGCCCATGCAGCAATCTAACCTTATACAGTTCTGGAGTTAGAACACCCACACACACACATCCATACCGTACTACAATATTGCTTAGAATTACCAGCTCCAGTCGCCAAGAGATGTCAATAGCCTATTCATGCAATATAATCAGGGAGAGCCAGTTTGAGCGCATATGATTAACTATTTCTATATACCAGTTCCTCCTACAGTGTTCCAGTGATATAAACGCTGGACAGTGCAGGAACTAGCTCCACTCAAGGCCTAGGAAGGAAGAGTTAGCGTATACATGTAATACACATTACCGTAATTAGTTTAACATATGCGTTTGATCAGAAACTGAAACCCTCTTAAATAAAGCATGCAGGCATGGGATAAATCAGGTTTCTGGTTCTGTTTCTATTCAGGGTTTTTTCCTCCGTCTTTTTCCCAAATGTGCTTTTTCCTTATGGAACAACATGTTCTAAGATTACAGATTATCACATCATTTATTCTCTGAAGGTTATATCATAACATTTGGAGAAAGAATTGTCCAGCTGAAGCACACTACATGATCATCGGGGGCAACTTATACGGGTAACATTAAATTGGGTTTTATGGTGTCCTCTCCTGAGGAACACCTATAAGAATCCTAAATTGTGAGTACCAGTACCTAAATGGTTAGCTGCACCCATTACAATACTTGATATTTGTATTTATACTTTTCATCAATTTCTACAGCTTTTTCTCCTCATTATCTCTCAACACACATTGTGATTTAATTATTGTTAAAAATAAAATATGGCATGCCAAGATGCTTGCTTAACCTGCATGAAATGCAAGGATATTGTGGCCCGAAAACTTGTTCAAATGAGTGAAAAATAAAGGCAATATTTAAAGCTAAAGCTTAGTATGGCAAAGGAAGCCTTCAACGCAAGACATAATTTTATTATATAACAGCACATGAAGTTTCGTGATCCTGTGTGAAAATATGAAAAAGAGATGGCATAGAAATAAAGTGTTTGAGGCTTAGTGGCGCAGTAAATACAAGTCACTATATCCTAGTCTAAGTGCAAGACTCATTCTGGTACACTCATCCTAAGGTGTAACAGGACATGACGTTTGGTCAACAAGAGAACTTCAACCAGGATATAACGATCTACATGTACATAGTACAATCACTGATGACAGGAGTGGGCACAGAGTCGAGATAAAAAGTGAATAGAACATTATGCAATCAGATCTGTTTACCGGTCTTATTATGTTACCATGCTGAATGAAGACTTCTACTAAAGTATAAGCTAACAGGGAGATAGGAATAACCTTATGATCTGTACAGGTAACATATACGCATGTCCGTATCACACCTTGCACTGTTGCAGGTGTTTACCTTGGTGCAACAAAGTGGCTACACATATAGCTAGATTATAGCGAGACTTTCATTCATCCTGAATGCAGTCGTTGTGTCCAATAAATGATTCATGACAAAAGGTGCCCGTGATCTAATTTGTCATCTTTACAATCTTGTGTGCATATTACAATAGACTGCTTTGTATTCATTTCTTCAATCCCATGTGCATATAGGCCTGCATATACCGTCCATGTAACATCAATCTCTAACGCCAACAGTTCTGCAGGTGAGATTTAGATGTATGTATTTACTGTATCATATGTAATGATGCAAGATTCTTATGAAGCAGTACTGGTTAGACAAGAATGTTAATTGTTTAATACTTTTATTGCATCCCTAGTTAGCCTGACCAAAGTGATAGATTTTTTGTATAGAACTTATTGGTTTGTTATCCAATGATCAAAGTGACAAATTGAAACATTTCACCGGGGCTGAAACCCTCATGAATTATATCCATATGCACATTGCACTGATGCAATTTGAGATGTCAGACGAACAAAATAGATGTGGGAATGTCTATGTGTATTTTAAGGATCCCTGTCCCACTGCACTGTGTTCTTCCCTGTATACAGTAATATAGCCTCCCCTTAACTTCCATTTGGATATTGTAGCACAGTTGGGCAATGACACTTCCATTGACCAGGCAGCTCATGGTTAGAGAGAGATAGTATAACAATCTCTGAAGTCCAGTCACGGAAAGTTTACACCGAGTGTTTACACTCAGACCACTGTTGTAGATTAGATTTTTTTTTTTATCTTTACTATTTTCTCATAAAAGCCCACGAAAGGTACTGTTTTCTTTACAGAAATGATTTATCAAAGCTATATATAGTCTTGTCGGAAAAACATTTTCCAGCACGCAGTAACAGTTTTTGCAGTGGTACAGGGATCCTTAAAAAGACGGACTAGTGACAAATTGAATGAAAACTTTTACATGCATATTGTACCACAAACACAATCCTCTTAAATACATGTAGTAGGTTTCATTCATTACACTACAGTTAAGTATTGGGTATGAGCCGCTGTTGATGTTAAATTGCAAACAAGACGAAGACTGTCCAGTTTGTATTTCATTGGTGCTTAAGTGATCAAAAGATTCTTTTAAAACCATACACAAATCATAGAAGATTCAATACTGTCTTCGCATCAGAGTTCTCCCAATAAAAGTAACTCTGTAGCTTGCAGCACAACACACCAATAAAGTCTAATTTAGGGGCAAGGCAATGCATGTTTTGCCTACAAGCCATGTTGTTTGGGGAAAGCAGTTCTATTTTCTATCAGGACAATGATCAGTCCTGGCATGAACAGTAAATTCTCTTTGTCTGAGAGAAGATGGTTATTCTCCTACAACCAATGTAATTACAATCTTGCCAAACCAGATAAGCCCAAGGAAAATACAGTCAAGAGTCCCGACAAAACATTGTGGGTGCTATATTCTTTGACTACTCTCAGTCTGAATTTGAATTTGTGTATTGCTAATATAAAAAGCTTTTTTTAAATCTCTTACCATGTATATGGTAGTCAATTTGACACTTCAGTGAATTTTGTTAAAACCAATCATGTGTAAAAAAAATTCCTTATACAGGTTCTGATAATGAAATAAAATATATTTCTCCCATGAGGTATAAACAGCTATGCTTCAACAATCCTAAGCAAAGCCAGTGATTTAGTTTTTGATAATTTCAGTGTGAGTTTAACTAGTGCATCATGTCACATGTCTTTATATGTATTACAGTTTATAGGAAAACAAAATATCCACCTCATGATAATATTTCAGTTCTAATTATGATTGATGTCCATGCTCGTAAGTTAACTTTTTAGGAACTACTAACAGAAGCTCTAAGGTTATACTTGAGATTTACAGCCACTTGGGCGATATGCTTCGTGGTTCATGGTATATAATGATCAATCACCACTTGTTGGATATCATCTCTACATTAAAAGGACCTTCAGTAAGTTTCCATTGCTTTAACTATTCTACCCACTATCTTTTCACGGAATGAAAATAAATTTTAGATTTGTTTTATCACATGTGCAACCAAGGCATATAAAATGAAACAATTTTCATGAATTAATAGACTAGACTGGGAAAAAACACAGGGAAACATCCTATTTCTTCCCTTTTCATGTATTTGTGATCTCATCATATTGTTTCTTACGGTGTCACATCTAGTAAATCAAATCAGGTTTTTTCACATGTAAGTTTAAAGTTACACTTGGAAGAGATGTACACAATAAGGATATACATGTACAGGTTAAGCAATATTATCATTATAACATTGTTTTACAGGTCCACAAAAAGCCTTCCCATTGACCCCCAAAAAACCCTCTGTGTTACGATTTCCGATAACAATTAAGTTAAACAAGATCAGTAGGACGTTTGATGGCAGCATCAATCGCCACCACAAAATGTCTCCATCGATCATAAACACAATTACTGCCATAACAATGGACAAACATTTCTGATGTCAAACAAGTAAAACAATGTAATAATTAAGATGAAAGTGGTGCCAAGCATATGAGCAGCATTCAAACAAGAACTTTACAACTAGAAATGTGTCTGTAAATCACATACGCCCCCTCCTACACTGAAGAATTAAGCAAGGTCACAGAGGCCTACATTGTAGGTCAAATGTCAAGCTTACAAAATGTCATGCAACATGCTTTAATCATTGAAGAGCATTAGCATGCAAAGCTCTGTGACCCTGTACTAAGACCATAACTAAAATCAAAGCTCAACCAATGTTAAGGTAAGAAAATGTCATACAACATGTTCTGCTCATGAAGGCGTAAAAGACTGAAGTTGCACTGCATGCATGACCCTGTTGCATGGTAAAGGAAATATTTGTGTGCATAGGTATAGTCCTCAGTAGTGTTACTGGGATCTTTAGAGGCAAAACCTTAACTGGATGTAGTGCGTATGTATTGATATGCCATATGCCCTGCAGCACTTCATGGTGGGGCATAAAAACAGCCATAATACAATCAAATGGATGTGGATATTCCAATTATCAAGAATGAACTAAGAGTTTTAGCCTCTGCAGCCTTTATGCCTAGCCCTTATAATTATTTCTATCTACAATATGTAGCCAAGCAACTATATCAATTGTGGTGAATAAATCCATTCATAATTTTGAGAAAGGATGTTTCAAAATACTTTGACATTACCTTTAGGAAAATTACCTTGTTATCTTGACCTTTGACTTTAAAGTTTCTATAGCTTTCCCAGCCACTTAACATTATGTCTTGGTAAGTACATGTAACTGTAGTAAGTTTGTTTATATCTAACCTATGATCCATAAAATTTAGAGACACTGAAGTTTTATAAACTTGAACAGTGTGACCGATCTAGGTATGATGCATGAACAGGAAAGGTAAAAAAAGAATTAATGCTCCCGAACACATTTTATCACCAGCATATAAATATGAAGAAAGTCAGATCAGGTGTAAGTAGCATGTGTATGCTAGTTTCAGGGACTACAATAGCAGAGGGCTTGTATCCTATCAGTATAAACCCAACACAGCATGACAGGTCCATCAATGCTTTAGTTGTATTGTCATTCAAAGCACAAGTACCCATCACTTCTGAAAAGCTGGCCTTGGTCACCAGGTCAGTTTTTTCTAAACTATATATATTAAACCATTATAGTGAAGTTGTTGATTTGCAAGGCTGGTTTTAAGGAATGCACACCTCTTTACCACAACCACATTGAGGTTAATCTCTGTGGTTATACTACCGACACAAGGTCAACACAGTGCTATAGCTTCTGCTAGCTATTGGGATAAAAGTCACAAAGATTGATTATGCATGCACGGTGCCGTCTGTGGTCAGGTCCTATAATCACCTGTCAGTGAATACAAGGAACTGTTTAATCAAGAAAGTAATTCCCCTATAGAGTATCAACACAGTTCTGAAGGGATTGCCAGAGTGGTCCTAATGGGGACATAATATAAGACCTTATATAACTTTGCTATGGTTGTTTTCTTGTAGATTTTGGACATACACCAGGCTTTAAGTTTAACACAGCTGAGTCAATATAACATTCTTTACATAACACCTTCAGAGAGATTAAATTGTAATTGCTTTGAACGGAAACATTATAAATATATATTATTAACTAACTTTCAATATGGTGGCTAGAGATGTGCTTATTCTTTCAATTTGCTGACTTTGATAAAAAAAATCTTGATTATTATACGTTTTTTTGAACTTATAATGGTTAACTGAAACATTCTTAAAATGCAAGTCTATTCCCCTTTTTTGTCATATTATACACCTAACATTACCATTATCATTGGGTAGGTAGAAGAAATCATATCATAATTAGTCTTCCATTATTGCAAAAGGTCAATTTCTTCTGCTAAATCTTGAGATACTGTACAGTTTACTTCATCAATGCAAGAGTATATGTTCCAGACAAAGTGAATGCGATCCTCATCTATAAAATCTGGGGAGGGGTGCTGGAATCACAAGGATAATTATCACTAGTATTCAAAATATGGTAATAGGACACCTTAATATATTCAGAGGATAACAAAAAATACCGCAAATGCAAAATAGATTCCTATAACTGACATAAAGCAATTAATTTTTGAAGTAAATTTGTCATTTCATCATTCTCACATGGTTAGTTATCCAATTAATATATTCCCTTTTTTACTGCATGTATCTACAACGGATTACAGAGAGCTTTGTTTTTACCCATCTTATAAGACTCTAACACGCAATTTTTGACATGTGAAACCCAGCATATTTTTTATGTGTGCATTCTATATATATAGGATTGTCTGCATGCAATTGTTCCCCCACTGGATATGACCTTTTGTCTATGAACAATACGACCATGTTTATATATCATGTACAATATTTCCTGGCGAGGGGAGGTGACACATAGGTGATAAAATGGCTATAAGCTGGTACCAAGGCATCAACACTGTGTTTGATAGCATGCAGAGTACATATATATATATACACGTAGTCTGTCAATATATACATCATATTAATATTGTCCATTAACTAACATTAGACCAATTAAACACGTGTGTGATCATTCTATTGGAAAAGCTTAGCATACCTTGACTTACTCATTCAATTTGTACCTGCAAATTCCATTACTAGTCAAAAAAGCTTCTATAGTACCGACAACACATAGAAACAAGACGCCTTGACAGCATTTAAAGCTAGCTTTTATTTACATGTATTTGCACATATTATGCTATAAATGTGCATTTATTTTCAAAGTTATATAGTTATAACTTATAATTATATCACATATAGCACACAAAAGGTTTTTTTTAATTTCACAATTAAAAGTAACACTATAACAAAGCAATTTTAGACTAAAACTTACAAGCACTCCTTTTACCCAACCAAATTTTAAAGCGCCCTTTTCCTGGGATTTTTTTTTTAGACCCTCTTCCGCAAGCTTTTCTTCAGATGCTAATAATTTCTCCCTGGCTTTGCTGCGGAAATTTTCTTCAGTATCCTGTAAACATATTTAAAATCATCAATATGTACATGTAACAAGTTAATCCAGTGTAAGCATGCTCAATGATAAAACGTTTTGCGAGCACATTTATTGAAATAACCTGATTGACTAGTCTGGTGGGCGTCTAACAGATACATGTATCGTAGTGAAATAATTAGTTATAAAGTCAGTTCCTCTATAGAATTCCTCTATAGAACCATAGAGGATCAGAGACATAGTCTGAATCTCCTATACATCTATTCTTTAATCAATTCAAGGGTCAGTAGCAGATACATATAAAGAATTTCGTTGCATTAGGGACCCTTTAAAGGTTTGCTTATCTACTTAAAATGTTATCAGCCTCATGTCAATAATGCAATCATTTGACTGAAATCATTCAAGGGGTGAACTTTGCTTTCAATGTCAGGTGTAATTCAAATGTGATATCATAATGAGATTGAGCCCTGTTTAAAGTTATCAATTGATTGATTGATTGGTTTTATGTTCGCTTCACTACTGTCCTGAGTAATAAAAAAAGTTATCAATGAACAACTCTAGTTTTATATAGGGGATCCCGGAGACCATGCGACTGGTCTTTGCCAATGAATTAATGGCATTCTTATCCAACGTGCAATAAAACATAATAAATTAATATACCAACACGGACTTTGATAACTAATCTAATTCCGTGTATACTAATGATATATCATTCAATATTGTGATCATACACAGCAATAACTAGGATGTTTTCAGTTCAAATCCTCAAAATCAGATGAAAGAACTATCTGAGTTACACTAATGTAATAAATCAATAATTTCACAATATTAGTATTACTTAAAGTACAAATTATCAAGTGATCCCAATCATTTCAAAAGATATTCTAAAATTATTCTATTTACATGTCAGGTTATAATATTCAAAAATTCATATTTTGTAGTACAAAATGTGAATTTTTGAATACACTAGACAATTTCGACAAGAGTTAAAAGCATGCTATTGTTCGCTACAAATTGGTTGAAATCTAGGTAGTGTAGGAGATGTTATTATAAGCAAATCTCCCTTTATTATCCCTTTTCCCCCAGTTTTTCAGCCCGTGGGAGAATATTTTAAGTCCCTTTATTGGAAAAGAAAAAGATCACAATATGGCATGTATATGCTAACTCACAAAAAGTCCCATATTTGGTTGAATTCTGCTCAGCAGTTTTGTAGGAAATGTCTTTTTCTTTTATAGCAAAATCAGCAATTACTTTTATGTGGCAGTGAAAAGTTAAAAATAACAATTTGCAAATTGCATACACAGATCTATACTATCAGCAGAAACTGCATTTTTCTTTAAAGGGATGTAACAGGTTTTTATCCAAATCGGTTCTCAAATGAAATCTAATTTTTGTTTTAATAATAACAAACAAACGGTTAAAAAAAAACATGGATTGAATTCAATGGGAAAATGAGATTGGCATGTACAGAAAGGTGGAAATCTTCTTGCATGACATTTTCTTGTGAATATCATATGAAACTAAAAAAATACAAATTCGTCTGAGGATCAATTACCCCATAAAATCATTATGTTAATGAATATCAAAAGCATACAGTAACTTATAAAAAAATCAACCAACTGGTAACGCTTGAGAGAACGAGTTGTTTCCAATTAGGCCCCGTATCTAAAGTGACTGCATGGTGTTTATTTACGTTAAAAGCACGCACCGGCTAACATTATATTGAACTGAATAGGGAAATAAAACATGTTACCGAGTACTTTAAATGCCCTTTTATATTTTCCGTCACATTTTTTCTTCAAACACATATCCTGTAAATCGATAATAAACTTACTATAACTAACAACATACCTTTTCTTCGTGAAGTTCTGCTAGAGTGGGTCTGGATTTCATAGCAGTTGTAGCGGAAAGTAAATTTCTGTAGTGATCCATGTGTGGTAAAGCTTCGGTGGTATACCTTCCAAATGTTTTAAAATTTGTCTCGTAAGGATTTGAAAATGAATTATGGCTGGCATAAGTATCCGTAGGAGATACCGGGGGACTAGACCCAAATGTAGGTGATTCAAATGACTGTCGGCTGTCATCTTTGTTTCTGTGTGCCGGCGACTCAGCATCATCAACCGTGTTGTTTACGTCGTCAGGATCATCTGTAACTGAATTGACTCTGTCCACTTGAAATCTCGATGTAGACGAAACTTTCCTTATCATTTCGTTTGATGTATTATTCAAAAGTACAGGTAAATTGTTTTCACAACATGCTCCTTCCTTGAATGTGACAGTAGGAACTGTCTGCATGGAAGTGTCCGCCATTCTTTTGAGTTCGCCGTGACGTCAGGAGAAAGTAATCAATAGGAGCGGCGAGTTGAGGCCCTGCACCATGAACACGAGGCCACGTGAAACCCACGTGTTTCAGTACACACAATGTTTACAAAGGCTACCGGAACTAATCGTTTTTTACACACACTCCTAGGCCTAATACATTGTATAAACATGACTACTTACTCAGCTCAGGTAGGCATCATCAAGGCATATGTTAGTCTATATAACACTATGCATACAAAACATCAAAAACATTTCAAAGGAAAGGTTATCACTAGTACTGTAACAAACATGTTAGAATTTAGTGTTGAGTAATAACGTTATAACGTTTATTTAGTAACCGTGCAGCAGAGACGTATTACACATCTCTATCTGGATGTATTTATATAGACATGCGAAATGAAATACTAATTCCTTGATTTGACTGCTACTTACACGTTACTTACATTACACTCAATTCACCCCAATCCGGCACCAAAACAAGTGTGGAAGAATTGTAAGCAGGTAGGCCTTTGGGAATCAACCATGTAAAATGCATGTAAAATGTGAAATGCATTTATTTTGTGTATAAATATTAACATTAGACACTCTAATAATATGTTTTAAAAGATCTTTTGTTTGATCGTTTCTTCTGATGAGGATTTAAATAGGACGAACAAATACACACATATATAAAGATTTCACAGGTTTTTTTTTTAACTGTATATATATGATAGGACATTGTCATATTACTTAAGGATTAACTTGATTAACGCGAAGCGGTTTATGATGAGAGTACACTCCGGTTTTTTGTGTTATATCTCCATAACATGAAAAACATATTCAAGTTAATCCTTATAATTTAATCTTCTATAACCAATCCCTATGGAAATCTACTTTTATTGATGGACTCTTTTCTCTTAAAAATTATTGCGCCGCTGTATCAACCAATCAAAAGCGACGTTACAAATGGCGACGTCATTTCTTTACGTTATGGGATGATAACATAATTTTTTAAGCCCATGGAAATGCTTGTTACAAGCAAGATTAAATTATATAAAGTCAGGAACATATGTGAATCACTTGGAATAACTAATGTCTCGGTAAAAGAATCGACGTGGTTAGTTTAGCTTCATTTATAATTTTCATCTGGTGGGGGAGAATTTAGCCTTCAAGTGACATCACCTATTACAAGTGTACATTTGTACGTACATGTTCTATACAAGACAATACTCACGGGTATAGACAACGCCACATACAACATTCACAAATAAAACCAACCATGTACATAGATTATAAACGATGTGCACAAACACATTCAACTCTGTACATAAATTAAACAATATATTTATGTTGAACTAAAAATACTTTTCCGTGATCGCAAATTATTTTTAGGGTTTCTAAAATCAATTCAGTTAAACTTATGTTGGAGTTTGCTGCTAGTTAATGACGTTCAATGATGACATTTCCGACACACTACCACTTGTGAGTTTTTCATCCTTGTTTAATGTGTATCTATACGAAACAGCGTGATACGTCACTCCTTGAGATCTTCCGGGTGATACGACCCAGTTTCCGTCCGTTTTATTATAACAACACAAACAAATGATAAAGAAGAGTTAAACATAGTCCAGATTTAATTAAACAAAAATTGCATTAAATTTAATTCGACAAAGTTAGTTTCAGCTTGTCTGATAAACTTTACCCTAGTACGGCACACTAAAGAGGAAAACACACCAATTCCGAGATAAATTTAAAAAAGGGGAAAAGATTTGACTTCAATGTGAACAAGACTATTCAATAATGTTTCTCTTATGTAGAATTTTACGTTCCATTAATCTAGATTATAGACGAGCAAGCACCAATAGTAGTAATAAGGAACAAGCACCGATAGTAGTAATAAGTGTGACACAGTCAGTGTTACGACGTTGTGAAATTGGTTACGTATAGCTAGGAAATAGCTAAGTGAATCCAGGACTACATAGATATGGTATTAAAGTCTCAACTGACCAGCTATGCACGTACCAATTGATTATGAGGGGTTTATGAACCTTATGATAGATAAGGGCTGAATGCATCCTAATAACGTGGAGTGAATCCAGGATTACATATATATGATCTTAAGTCTCAACTGACCAGCTTTGCACGTATCAATTGATTATTATGGGGTATACATATAACCTAGAATGAGATAATGTTAGAAGAGCAAGAGACGGCTAGAGAAGAGGTTAGAAGGGTTAGGGACGGCTAGAGAAGAGGCCAGAAGGGCTAGGGACGGCTAGAGAAGAGGTCAGAAGGGTTAGGGACGGCTAAAGAAGAGGCCAGAAGGGGTAGTGGGCTAGAGCTAGTACAGCTAGAGACAGCTCGGAGACGAGCGAGACCGAACGATAGAGACCGATCCTAATACTTGCGGTTACCAGAATAAACTTCTAACCAACCATCAACCCTTGTCACTGCTGTTTTGTTACATAAGGAACAAACACCAATAGTAGTAATGAGAGGACACGCACTAATAGTAGTAATAAGGAACAAGCACTAATAGTAGTAATAAGGAACAAACACCAATAGTAGTAATAAGGAACAAACACCAATAGTAGTAATAAGGAACAAACACTGATAATAACAATAAGGAACAAGCACCAATAGTAGTTATAAGGAACAAACACCAATAGTAGTAATAAGGAACAATCACCGATAGTAGTAATAAGGAACAAGCACCAATAGAAGCAATAACGAACAAACACCAATAGTAGTAATAAGGAACAAGCACCAATAGTAGTAATAAGGAACAAGCACAAATAGAAGCAATAAGGAGCAAGCACCAATAGTAGTTATAAGGAACAAGCACCAATATTAGTAATAAGGAACAAGGGGGGATAGTAGTAATAAGGAAAAAGCACCAATAGAAGCAAGAAGGAACAAGCACCAATAGAAGCAATAAGGAACAGGCACTAATAGTGGTCATAAGGAACAAGCACAAATAGAAGCAATAAGGAACAGGCACTAATAGTGGTCATAAGGAACAAGCACTAATAGGAGTAATAAGGAACAAGCACCAATAGAAGCAATAAGGAACAAGCACCAATAGTAGTAATAAGGAACAAGCACCAAAAGTAGTAATAAGGAACAAGCACCAATAGTTGTAATAAGGAACAAACACTGATAATAACAATAAGGAACAAGCACCAATAGTAGTTATAAGGAACAAACACCAATAGTAGCAATAAGGAACAATCACCGATAGTAGTAATAAGGAACAAACACCAACATAAGTATTAAGGAACAAGCACAGAAAGTAGCAATAATGAGCAAGCAGCGATAGTAGCAACAAGGAGCTGGTGATAGACAAACACTATCGTTTGTCTGTTCTACGATAGGAACTTGTTCTATTAGGTCAAAACCTTTTTGAAAATTATATTAAAATGAAGATGCACATTTCACGTAAAAGTTATATGATTTTAAAATCGGTTTTATACCAAAGTTGATATAACGTTATACAGGGTTTATTGACTCATTGGCTTTCCCTTCACGTGACAGACGTAGACTGTTATTCTTCTAACCTTTACAATGTATATAGTACCACTGTTGAGCCTTAAAAAGACAATATGGCAATATGGTGCATTAAAAAGGACTGACTTTCTGCAAACTATATTTTAAAGATGTGCTTCCCTTTTTGAGTTTCTAATGAAAATAAACGGACACCGTGAAGCTATAGATATACAGGCCGTGATGTTTGGCCCTATTGTAAAGAAAGAAGGCTCTTAACTTTATAAAGCGATTCTTGTTAACTGTTTAAATAAAAGACGAATTCCTTCAATATTAAATATCGTAAAATTGTGTACACTCACCCTCCTTTAGTAAAATTTTGTCTTATAGTACCGACATCTAAATTAGTTGGGTCAAGCGTCAATGTTTATTTTGTTCATGTTAATGTATATTATAAATATGAGCTTTCACCTTGCGACTTTTCTACATGTACATGTCTATGTATGTATTTCATGTTTACTATTTTGCTTTCAAACTACTTTGTAGTTACAAATGTGCAAATACAATTTTGAATTTGAATTAGATTTTTTGTAAAATTATTATGTACCTAACAGTTGATGCATGGATACGGACGGTTTTGTATTGCTCGGCTATACGTGATCGTTATGTACACTGTGTATTATCTATATTAAAGAATATATTATCGATGGGAATACATTACTTGGTTATATTAAGCAGATCTCATTTTCAAGAACATCGTGAAGTTATGGTCCGTTCACTAAACCTTCTCATTGCTTATTTTCATATTCACACGGGGCATTAAATTCATAAAAACATTTTGCGACAAATGCTAATTTGAGTTTGACAACACGTGTCATTAAGTCTCTGTATACCTTCATAAACATTGTACATTTCATATCCATCTTGACAACGCCCTGAACTACGCCGTAACCTTTGACCTTTGACGAGTAGTGAAGAACGTGCTTGTGATTCTCAGTCATGCGTGTACAATAATATGACTTATCTAATTCTTTAAGAACATACGATTGTGTATGGGCTTTATTTGTAGAAAAGTGCGGATTTCGTAATGCAATACACAGTCATGGCAAAACTTAAAATACTCCATCCTCTCCCTGGACCCGCATACCTACAATTTACAATTACGCATTGGCCATATTTGGTAAACGGAGCAGTGTTTCTTGTGGAAGATTATAATGATTTACTCAAGTGAATAAACACATTACTCAACAAAAGTAAAACACAACGCAACGTGTCCCTTCATCTTGGCGATTATACAACATATGCAAATTTAATAGAACATTGTGGTTTCCTGTCTTTTGCGGTTGTATTTATAATGGCGATTTTCCTTTTATAAAAAAAATAAAAAAATAAATAAATATCATGATCAACATTAAGTCAAACGATATTGGTCAATGACATTGAAACAGCAACATAAATTATGGAGGATAACGCAAACTGACAGCGGAACAGTCACGAGTTACCTTGAGAATATAATACCTGTGACATGATTTTAGTATATGACAAATCATTAATATTCTTCGCAACCGTAGTACGTTATTTT